CATACATTATAAAAACATACTGTCAACCAGTTCATTACATCTCTGGCTAATATAATTAACACCATTAAAATTAATGAAAAAAATAATAATTAAAACAATAAATTAAACTAAAAAAAAAATAATAATAATAATAATATTATATTAATTTATATATATTATATTAAATTATATTATATTATGTTAAATTAAATTATATTATATTAATAATATCTGTGTTAACTGCTTCAAATTCAATAAAGATACTTCTGCTACAGCCGCCAGGATCGACATGCTGTCTCGAGATTCAACGCCATTACGTAACAACAACATTACTACTACTACAAGTATTTTAATTGTAGTCAGCCACAACAGAAGCAACAGTAGCAGCGGCGGCAGCTACAACATTGTCAGTGACGTCATGAGTGACGTATGTCAAATGGCTGACTTCCTAAACGTTTATCCCCCGCCGATTATCGCCACCGTCTCAATCATCCTCCAAATTTCATCCTTCATAGTTGTCTCAAGTCGAATGCTGGCACACCCATCCAAACTCTACCTCCGCTGCCTAATCGTGTTGAGTTTTTTAAACACCCTATCCGGTGGCTCACTTGATTGGCTGACGAGAATGGATTTTGGGCGGGGCCTGAGACATCCGGCGGCCAGTAGCGATGTGCTGTGCAGACTGTGGATGTTCGTCTTCAACGTCGTGAACGGGGCAGTTGGGTGGCTGTTGGTCTGCTTGCTGATCGACAGGATGGCCGTCATGAAGGAAAAATGTAGGCGGAGTCAGAAGGAGATGATGAGGATGATGAAGATGGTGATGTCCAGGAAGAAGACGAAGATGATTAGGAGGAGGAAAAAAAAGAAGATGATGAGGATGATGATGAATGGCGGCTGTGGTAGTGGTGGCGGTGGCGGTGGCGGTGGCGTGTGGGATGGTGGTGTGGTTGCTGGTTCAGGGAATGGAGATCATGGCGGGAAGTCGTTGCAGAACTCGCTGTTGCAGCAACAGCAGCTACCACAAGAACAACAGCAGCAGCGTCTACAACCGCAGCAGCAGCAATTGCAGCAACCACAGCAGCCACAAGAACAACTGCGCAGTATTGAGTGCAACTCACTAGAGCTAAAAATAAAAATGGATAAGCGGATTCATTCACAAGTTCGACAGGAGACGCGCACTAAAAAACTTTTCAAAAATTTCTCGGAAGATAACAAAATGATTTTTCATCAGAAAACATCAACAACAACAACATCAACAACATCTACAACCTCAGCAACAACAACATCAACATCAACAACAACATCGATATTGACCAACCCAACAACCTCCTCAACAAAAACAACAACAATTTCAACTACATCAATGGCATTAACATCAAGATTAACTAGTCCAAAGACAACAACAACATCATCAACAACATCAGCAACAACAACATCAACAACAATAGCAACAACAACAACATCAATAAAATTGCCAAGAGAATCCAATTCACCAATTGTCACAAATATTCAAATTTATTTCAGAAACAAACTGAATCAAGAGAGCCTGCTAAAGAATGGTGATGTTTGTGTGTGTTTTGTGTGTGTGTTTTTTATGTTAATTAATTAATTAATTAATTGACTAATTAATTAATTCTTTCGTTCGTTCGTTCGTTCATTCATTCATTCATTCATTCATTCATTCATTCATTCATTCATTCATTCATTCATTCATTCATTCATTCATTCATTCATTCATTCATTCATTCATTCATTCATTCATTCATTCATTCATTCATTCATTCATTCATTCATTCATTCACTCATTCATTCACTCATTCATTCACTCATTCATTCAATCAATCAATCATTCATTCATTCATTCAGATGGCTTGGAGTTGGACAACGAAATATTTACTAGCAAGGTTAAGCTGACATTGGTCTTCGTCGGGTCCATCATTTTCAGCTTGCACTCATTGTGGGTGTTTGAGGTGAGTGAATAAGTGAGTGAGTGAGTGAGTGAGTGAGTGAGTGAGTGAGTGAGTGAGTGAGTGAGTGAGTGAGTGAGTGAGTGAGTGAGTGAGTGAGTGAGTGAGTGAGTGAGTGCGTGAATGGATGAATGAATAAAAAAAATGAATGAAGAAATGAATAAATAAACGAATGAACGAATTAATGAATGAATTCGCAAATCAAGACATCATCGTCTCCACCACAAATCATCATTATCATCCCTACCATCACAACATTATCACTATCATCACTATCACCACCATCATCATCATCACCCATACCACCATCACCATAACCTTAACCATTACCTACCACTACCAGCTTTTACACAACATCATCACTCAGGAAATTTCTAGTTTCATCATTATTACCACCACCACCACCATCATCATCACCGTTATCATCATCACAACTACCACCACTACCATCACTCTAACCCACCACCACCATTAGCTCTTAAACGCCCACGGAACCAACCCCCAATGCAATATCAACAGTCAGCGGGGTGACCTTGAAGCCCTCATTTGGCCCTGGCTCTCCACCACCCTCTTCTACTACCTACCCAGCTCCATACTATTGACGCTGCTATTTATAGTTGCTAAAAGTTCCCTGAGGGCTAAAAATAACTGCACCGGAAGTCATGGTGGTGGTGGTGGTGGTGATAATGATGAAACTAGAAATTTCCTAAGAGCTAAAAATAGCTCTTCCCGAAGTTGTAATTATGATGATGAAAGTGGTGGTAGTGGTGGTGGTAATGCTGATGGTCAACATTTTCTAAGAGCTAAAAATAGCTGCACCGGAAGTAGTAACAATGGCGGAAATAGTAGTGATTATAGTGTGAATACTGAAAATTTCCCAAAGACAAAAAATAGGAATCATGGTGTCGACGACGAAGCCAGTGAAGATAATGTTGGAAATTCCCAGAAAGCTAAAAATAACTGCTCCAGAAGTCATAGTAATGATGGCGAAGTCGGTAATGATTATGATGGTGGTTGTAGTAATAGTTATATTGGTAGTAATAATAATAATAATATTTATGGTTGTATTTATGATGATGATGCTAGCGATACTGCTACTACTACTGCTGCTGCTACCACCACTACTACTACTACTACTACTTCTACTACTACTACTACTACTTCTTCTTCTAATAATAATAATAATAATAATTACAAACCATTATTGATTCCAAATGGTTTGACAAAACTCCGTGAAAATGAATTTACTTTTTCATCAACTACTACTACTACTACTACTACTACTGCTGCTGCTGCTGCTGCTGCTGCTGCTGCTACTACTGCGGCTACTACTGCTACTACTACAACTACTGCTACTAACAATAATAATTCTTATAATAATAATAAAAACAACAATAATAATAATAATAATTACAACAGTCATAATAAAATAAAAAAATTGAGAGCAGCGTATGACCATTTGGATTGTACGGCCATCTTGTTATCGGCATTATACGCTCTGGCTGTTTTGCCCTCTGTGACTCTGCACCTCTCCCTTCTCTGTGTCGATCCATCATTCATCCAGCGCGATTTTCCCGCCAATTTGTGCAGGTTGGTTGTGATTAGCTGGCTGATTGATTGGTTGATTGTTTGTTTGGCTGATTGGTTGGCTGATTGGTTGGTTGATTGGTTGGCTGATTGGTTTGTTGGCTGATTGGTTTGTTGGTTGATTGGTTGGTTGATTGATTGGTTGGATGATTGGCTGATTTGTTGGCTGGTTGCTTGTGGCACATCAATCCTTAATTTATTCACTTTCATTCATTTTACCGCAAATTTTTGTAGGTTGGTTGTGATTAGTTGGTTGGTTGTATGGTTGCTGATTGGTTGGTTTGATGGTTGGCTAGAGCTGATTGGTTGATTAGTTAAATGAAACAATTCATTTGAAAGATCAGTAAATTTTTTGACAAGATTTGATTGGTTTAATGGTAGTGAAGTGGTCATCATTATCATCGCCACAATTACTATCATCATCATCATCATCACGATAAACTTCACCATCATCATATCAATCAATCACCGCATCATCATCACCACCACCACCATCATCACGACCATCATCATCACCACCACCATCATCACGACCATCATCATCACAACCACCATCATCATCACCACCACCACCATCATCACGACCATCATCATCACAACCACCATCATCATCACCACCATCATCACCAGGATCACTCTACTCAGCGTCATCTTCCAGTGCATCTCCAACCTCTTTCACTACACAATCATACCCCTCTCGGTCACGTGCTTCTACATTGCTGACGTCATCAGGGCTAAAAATAGATCAACCAATGGCGTAAAGACAGCTAAAAATAGTTTACCCCAGGTCAACAATAACTCTGATTCTAAAAATATATAGTAGAAACAGCTAAAAATAGATAACCCTGGATCAACATCAGCGCTAGTTCTAAAAATAGATCACCCGACGTCATCACGATGACAGCTAAAAATAGATGTTTAACCCACTCTAAAGATTGATCATCTTATGTCTAAAAATAGATCTAGATTCTAAAAATAAATCATCTTATGTCTAATAATAGATCTAGACTCTAAAAATAGATCATCTTATGTCTAAAAATAGATCTAGACTCTAAAACTAAATCATCATACGTCTAAAAACAGATCTAGATTCTAAAAATAGATCATCTTACGTCACCGAATCTAAATTCCCTTGAAAAAAATCCAAAAGCGTAGATTGTTTTGTTTAATTGGTTATAAGATTACTTGAACATTATTTGAAATTAATTTTCGTTCATTCGTTTATTTATTTGTTCATTCATTCATTCATTCATTCATTCATTCATTCATTCATTCATTCATTCATTCATTCATTCATTCATTCATTCATTCATTCATTCATTCATTCATTCATTCATTCATTCATTCATTCATTCATTCTTTAATTTAATGATTTGCTAGTTCTTTTTATCATTGCGAAAGATTGTGTTACTTTCAATCATTCATTAACTCATTCATTCATTCACATTCATTCATTCATGCATTCGTGTATCAAATTTCAATTTTTTTTTATCTTAACGGTGCTTTTGTGTTTGGCAATCTGCTAGGATCAAATAAATTTTTCGTTGTTTTGATGACGATGATTAAAACCTGAAGTGAATGAATGATTGAATGAATGAATGAATTGATGAATGAATTAACAAACGAACGAACGAACGAGAAAACAATGAATGATTAAGTTGATGAATGCAGCATTAAGTAAACAAAATGAACTAATGAATTATTATAATTTTAATGAATGAATGAATTTTAATGAATGAATGGATGAATTTTAATGAATGAATAAATGAATTATTATAATCTTAATGAATGAATGAATGAATTTTAATGAATGAATAAATAAATGAATGAATGTATGAACGAACGAATGAATGAATTATCAAATTTTTTAACGATTTGACATCCGCTTTACTTGAATCCAATTGAATGAGATTTTAAAACAAAACTCACCGTATCAAATTAAATATTAACATAATAAAAAATTATGACAAAAATAATTACGAAAATGAATTATAATTATGTATTATTATTATTATTATTATAATTTTTTTAACACAATAGTAAAAAGGTAGTAAAGGGATTTAATTCACCGCCATTGAATGTCGTAAAGAAAAGTGCTGGGCAATAAAATAATCGTAAATGAATGAATGAATGAGTGAGTAAATGAATGAGAATGAGTGAGTGAGTGAATGAATGAATAGATGAATTAATGAATGAATAGAAGATAGGATGAATGAATGAATGAACAAAAGAACGGACAGGCAAACAAATAAAGGAATGGATAATTAAATATCTGAAAGAACGATCGAACGAATGAACGAACGAACGAATGAACAAACGAACGAATGAACAAACGAACGAACAAATGAATAAACAAAGAATGAATGAACGAATATAACATTTCGATAACATCTAAAATATCCATGACACATTTGCTAATGTGCTGATAGCTGGTCATATTATAACACATTTTGACAAACTACTGGCTATTGCTACTACCACTGTTACCACTACTAAGACTACTACAACTACTACTACTACTACTACAGCTACTACAACGAATGCTACTACTACTATTACCACTATTAAGACTACTACTACTACTTCTACTACTACAGCTACTACAACGAATGCTACTACTACTACTACTTTTACTTCATTTTTTTCAGTATAACAAAAATTATCTCACCACAGATATTCTGATTTGAATAAAACCCCCAACCGACAAAGTTATAAAAATAATTAATTAAGAGATCACTCTTTGTTAGAAATATGACGGTTGAATTATTCAAATTGGCTACGTAATAAATATTATTATTATTATTTTATTATTTTTATTATCATGGTTGTTAATGGTATTCATTTTACTATGCCTAGAGTTAAACTAAGGTATGACTATATAAGGACATTTGGTTTTCAGTTAGTAATGTTATCTACAATCGATGAGGATTTTCAATCAGTTATTCACCGCTAATTCTATTGGGAGTTTTATATAATTACTTGATTTCAGTGCTACTATTACTACTACAACTATTGCTGCTGCTGCTGCTGCTACTTCTACTACTACAGTTGCTGGATTTGCTACTTCTGCTACTACCACTACTACTACTACTCCACTACTACTACAGTTGCTACTTTGGCTACTACTGCTGCTGCTACTACTACTACTACTACTACTACTACTACTACTACTATACTTACTACTACACTAAACTACTACTACTACTACTAAACTACTACTACTACTATTACTATTATTACTACTACTACTACTACTAAACTACTACTACTACTACTACTATTACTATTATTACTACTACTACTACTACTACTACTACTACTACTACTACTACTATACTTACTACTACTACTACTACTAAACTACTACTACTACTATCTGTAAGAAGTAATCATGGATTCATTGAAATTGTTTGGCGTGTTGCTGATGTTGATGCTGACGATTCCAACAGCCTCATCATCTACGTCATCGTTGTCGGCTCTGACGTCATCTTCGTCAAAATATGAAACCCTACTTTTGCTGTTAGTTTTTTATTTCCATTTTAATTTTATTTTATTAATTTATTTATTCAAATAATTCTTCACCAATACGCGTGTCATCTAAGCACTGATTCATTATATATATATATATATATATATATATAAAAATTGAAAAATTTATACAAGTAAATAATTTAAATAAATAAGTTTTGAATTAATCCTCATAAATAAACTTTTTTTTTCCATTGTAACAGCTCTCCAGTTCTCTACTTTGAAAACAACAATAACAACAACCTTATGACTTCATCAACATGGGAAAAGAACAACAGCAATCATTATTATTATTATGAAAACAACAACAAAGGCGACGATAATAAAAACAATAATAATAAGAACATCAACAACAACAAAGCCAACAACAACAACAACAAAAATAATAAAAAGAAAAAGATGAACATCATCAACAACAACAATAAAGCCAACAACAACAACAAAGTTAACAATAAGAACACCAACGACAACAAATTAAGCCTTCATCGCCTCCTACTAAAGACAACAAAGAACTCAACCAAGTGCAAGATGATGAAATTTCTATCGAAATTTCAAAAAACCTGGTTCTGCCAATGGAGACCAGGCTCGCTTGACATCTTGATAGAGGCTGGAAGACTAACTCGTCATGAGTGTAAGAGGCAGTTCGCCAGTAGGAGGTGGAACTGTCCAACTTTTCCAGATGAAAAAAATGGCGGAAGTATTAACGGTCTTTATTATCGCCATTTTCAAAATGGCGGACAAGATGGCGCGGAGAATCAGTATGGAGTTTATGGATGGGTTGCTTTTGCTGGTCAGTTGAATTTGTTATTCTTTTATATATATATATATATATATATATATATATATATATATATATATATATATATATATAAGGGTTTCTACTATTAATATTATAATTAATTATAATGAGGTTATGATAAAATATAATTTAGTTATAATTAATTATTATGAGGTTATAATAAAATAAAAATTAATAATTTTCCAGGAAACAAGGAGACAGCATTTCTGCAGACGCTGACGTCATCGTCGATGGCTTACGTCATAACGAAGGGATGTGCCAGTGGCGCCATCTTTAATTGCGGCTGCGATACGGATCGTCGCGACTTTTACACTACTAATAATTATTTGAATAATAATTATAATTATAATAATAATTATAATCATAATCATAATAATGAAGATGACGTCATATTCAAGTGGGGCGGATGTTCAGACGATGTTATACACGGTATAGAGTTTACAAAAAATCTCATAGACGAAAGTTCCGATAAGATTATTCGAATCGGAGAAAGCCGAATAAATCCGGATAAAATAAACGCTAAAAAAGCGATGCTACAACACAACGTGAATACCGGTAGGGATGTGCTGTTGAATTCGATTATTGTCAAGTGTAAGTGCCACGGAATTTCTGGAAGTTGTCAGACGAAAACGTGTTGGAGGACTTTGAGTCAGTTTCAGTCGATCGCTGCAGAAATTATGACTCGCTATGATCACGCGGAGAAAATTGAAAGAGGCGTTCGAAAAAATATCGCCAGGGTGGTAGCGAGAGATCAAGTTTTAGAAAGTCGAAGTAATTTAGGGGCGAAAATGACGAAGAAACAAACTTTTAAAAGAAGTTTGGAGGCTGATTATGAGGGAGATTTGGAAATGTTTGTCGATGGCGTAAATGAAAATTATGAGACAACTGTGGCTGAGACGATAGATGCTACCGCTACCACTGCAGCAACAATGACGTCATCTTGGCCGTCGTCGTCAACTACATCATCATTTCCATCATCATCTTCTTCTTCATCATCCTCTTCATCATCAACTGATGCTGAAATGATTACAACACGTAGAAACGCCTGGAGGAGGCATAAGAAGACTGGGGCTGGTGAAAGAGGAAGAATACTGGAAAGAGCGAAGAAGTCAAAAAAAACTACTACTACTACTACCACTACTACTACTACCACTACTACTACTACCACTACTACAACTACCACTACTACAACTACCACTACTACAACTACCACTACTACAACTACTACTACAACGACGACGATCAAAAAACAGAAAAACAATAATAACAACACCAACAATCTCGTTTATGTCATCAATTCGCCAACATACTGCACACCATTGCCAAAGTAAGCATTCTTAAATTTAATTAAGCTTATTTTATATTATTCAGTCATAATTAATACCCATGTATTTGCAATTCAATTTATTATGAATTTATATTTTATGCAAAAAAGCCAAACATAAAATTTACTAACAAACGAACGAAATTAAAAATAACCACAAAACCCCATCCCCACCCCCACCCCCATTCCAGGTTCGACTTCTACGGCACGACAGGACGGACGTGCGACCGGAAATCCGGAAGCCAGTACGGAAGTTGTGACGTCACGTGTTGTGGGCGTGGCTACGTCACGGTAGTGCGCCGCGTGACCGAGAGATGCAACTGCCAGTTCCATTACTGCTGCACTGTCACGTGCGAGAAGTGCGAGCGTTCCTACGACGAGCACCTATGCAAATGACAGAGTAATAAATTATGCTAATTGGTATGCAGATGGCTAAATGATAGGCAAGGGATTGGATAAATTATGCTAACGATATGCAAATGAGTGAATGATATGCAAAGGATTGAATAGTTTATTTATGCTAATGATATGCAGATGGCAAAATTAATTACGCTATTGATACGCAAATGGCTGAATTGATTATGTTAACGAATTTGCTTATATTAATGCTGTATGAATGTTAAAAATCCACACACAAATTGGCATACGATGGCAAATTGCCCATGGATCTCATTGCATTCGAAGCCGGTCACCGTAGCATCAGAACCAGACGTCTCTTGCTTTTGACATTTGCTATTTATAATTACTATTTTTATTATTGTCATTTTAATTAGTATTTTATTAATTATTAATAATAATTTTGTCTTTGTCATTTCAATATTAAATGTTGTATCATCGTTCACTACTTTTCAACGAGATACGTCTATGAAAAACTATCTACTCTTTCTCGAAAGCCAAAATCAAATAATGATAATAAATTGTAATAAAATGTTTAAAAAAAATAAATAGAATAGAATCAAATAATCGAATCAAATCAAATGAACAACCAACCCAAGTGCATGGGCGTAAGAGTTGTATTTAAATTTAATTAATTAATTAATTTATATTTAAATTGATATGTTTACACAAAGCAGTGTTGTTTCTGTCACAGAAAATTTGCTTCTGACGAGCCAATAGCACTGTTAATTAATTTAAAGTTAAAAGAAATTGGCCGTAAAAATTTAAATAACGATAAATTGAAATTATTGTAGACAATTCAAAGGTGTTAGTTATTGTAGAACAGTCGAGATATATTATATATATATATATATATATATATATATATATATAAATTTAGATGTGTTCGTCGTTTGTATTGTTTTGATGGAAGTAGATTAGTTTCATGGCATATTGTCAGCCCCAGAACCTCAATCTTGTTGCCCCACACAATGGCAATGTCCGGAGGTAGCCTGTAGAATAGGCATGATATTGCACCAGTCATTTAGAGCCCGTAACCTCAACTCCTCTATCATTAACGCCAGTACCTTATCATGTCTGTCTTTGTATCTCTTCAGAGCCGATGTTGAACCGCAGTTTGAACTTTTAAAACGTTACCGAAATTAAAATGCAGCCATCCTGATTTGCAACTAAATGTGGATTTAAGTTATGAGAATTTTTCTGCTTTCTGTTTTATATATTTAGAAAAATTTAAAATGTTTTAGGCCGATTTATTTAACAAATTAATTAATTAGCAATTTAATTATTTGAAAAATTGTTTTATAATTTGTTTGAAAATGTACTGTTATAAGAATTTGTCGTCTGGTCACAAGATGCCTGCTTTTGGATTAGGAACTTGGCAGGTTAAATTTTTAATATCTTATAATAATTTTATTTAAAAACCTCTTTTAAACCTCTCCACTTGACATTATTCCAATTTTTATTCTTAAAAAATTTGCTCATCTCATTTTTGCTCCATTACTTTCTAAGCTCTGCAATCCTTCTCTAGAAAACAACATTTTCCAATTTCTTTTAATTTTAAATTTTTAATTAATTTTAATAATTAGTTAAGTTTTAAATTTAAGAAAGCTCAAATTCTAGTATTCTACCTTTACTAAATAATCTAATTTTGATCCATTTGATGTCTAATCCTCCTAATTACTGTTCTAATTCTAACGAATCTAACCTATCAACTTTTTCCAAATTACTTGAATGCATTGTCTTGTGCAGGATTCTCACTCATATTACTTCATCTCCTAATCTCTCTCATTTTCATTCCACTTACAGTTACATTAATAAAATTAATATTTATTCTGTAATAATAAAATAATGGATGATAATTAAATAAATTATCTAAAAACTTTTAGTATGCGTTTAAATCTAAATATAATTTGTTTAATTTAAAATTTGTTTAAATATAGATATTTGAATTATAAATTTGAAAAAAAACTTTAGGATTAAATTAAATAGATGATAAATAATAAATTTTGTATTTTTATATGGTGGCACTTATTTTATATTTTTCACTGTCTTTAAACATTCTTTCTAACAAATTCATTTTTTTTATAAAATGTTTAATCAATCTTATAAATTTAAAATCATCCAAAAATAACTTTCTCATTAACTTTATTTCATAATTTTTTGACTACTATTTTTATAATTTGTCCTTATTTAATAAAATATTTAAAAATTACTTTTTATTTATTCAAAATCAAGTCTAAACTGAATGAAGTAGGAGAAGCAGTAGTTAGCGCAATCCGCGCTGGTTACCGGATGATCGACTGTGCATTCATCTACGGGAACGAAGAAGAGATTGGTTGTGCAATCAAGCACTGTATCGATGATTTGCAATTGGTCTCAAGAGAAGAATTGTTCATAACCAGTAAGGTAAGGGCAGGAATAATTTTTCTTCAATGTTTCTTTTTTATACAGATAATCCAATTTTTTTATACAAATAATCCAATTTGAGATGTTGGTTTTGAAGTTAATTTCAATTTTAATCAATTAAATTAATGTTTTTAATTAATTTTTATTTTTGATTTCATCTCTAACTCGATTATATTGACAGCTATGGAATACCAAACATCGCCCAGATGATGTGCAGCCAGCTTTGAGGGAATCGCTGAAGAGATTGAAATTGAACTATCTTGACTTGTATCTAATCCACTGGCCTATAGCTTTCAAATCGGGCGAGGAGGTCTTCCCGACTGATTCGAATGGCAATCTGATCTACGAGGACGTTGATTTCAAAGAGACATGGAGGGCGATGGAGTGTTGCGTTAAAAGTGGTTTGCTACGTAGCATCGGCCTGTCCAACTTCAACAGCCAACAGATAACTGAAATTCTGAGCATTGCAACCGTCAAACCGGCCAATCTCCAGGTAGAAATCCACCCCTACCTACAACAAACTAAGCTCGTCGAGTTTTGCCACCGAAACCAAATGACGGTGACGTCATACAGCAGTTTTGCTTCTCCTCGCAGACCGTGGCTTGATGAGGAAACGAAGAACTCGGTTAATTTATTTAATGAGCCTGTGCTTCTAAAAATAGCAGCCAATCACGGTAAAACTGTAGCCCAGGTGATTTTGAGATGGCTATTCGAGAGGGACATAATCGTAATTCCAAAGAGTGTGAACCCGTCTAGGATCAAAGAAAATCTTCAGATTGATGACTTTCGACTGACTGAGGAAGATCTGGGGCAGATAAAATGTTTGAATAGGAACCAGAGGGTCATCCTCCCTATGATCGTCAACAAGGAAGGCAAGAAGGTGCCCAGGGATATCAGTGCCCCCAACTATCCATTCAATGTTGAGTTTTGAGGCGTTCCGATGGATGGATGGATGGATGGATGGATGGATGGATGGATGGATGGATGGACGGATGGACGGACGGATGGACGGACGGATGGACGGACGGATGGATGGACGGATGGATGGACGGAAGGATAGACGGATGGATGGAAGGATGGATGGAAGGATGGATGGAAGGGTTGTGGAGAGAGATGGATGGATGGATGGATATACAGATGAATAAAAAGATGGATAAAAGATAAAAAATGATATTATTGCTCAGAGACTTCAATAATGTTGTTTTGGATGGATGGATGAATAAACAGATAAATGAATGAACGGATAGACAGCTAGATAGATGAATGAATAAATTAATAAATAGATTAGATTGATGGATGGCTGGATGAATAGTCTGATGAATGAACCGGGTATAGAACTACATAGAAATGTTTGTCTTTAAGTTAATGATTTGTCTTCTATCCAAATATTCATTGTATCATTTCTCTTTTTTATTTTATAATGGGTTATGATATACAAAAGATGATGAGGTATTGTTAAGCTATTTTTTTTTGGTTGCAACCAAACTAGCTACAAAACTTTGATTGCAGAAATTAAGAATAGCATGTTTTGATTGGTTTATCTACTTAACTTGTTTTCTTTACTACTTTAAAGGTTTTTTTTTTTGGTTGTTTAATTCTTTTCAAGTCATTTGCAGTTCAGTTATTTAACATGTCGTTATATATTTATATACAAAAATATAATGTTTTGGGTTTAGATTATCATAAATACAGTTATTTATAAAGACCACTGCGTTCTGAATAATGCCGAAAACGCATTGATCTTTATAAATAAAAATATATGTGTCAAGGATGGACCATCCACAAGCTATTTGGTTAACTTATTTCGGCTTTCCTTTAAATAAGAGGAAACTGAAAAAAGTTACAGTACACCATAATGTATATATACGTGTGTGTGTGTGTATGTATGTGTGTGTGTGGATGTATGTGTTTGTATGTATGTGTGTGTGTAATTGTTTTTTGTTATTTATACATTCACCTGTTCATTCCAAATATGTTTATTACGTGCTGTATACATACGTTCGTGCGTGTGTGTGTGTTATAAATATATATTCATTCATTTATTTATTTGTAAAATGTCCATTCGTTTATTTATTTAAAGAATATTCACTCATTTACTCACATGAAGAATTAAGAATTTGATTTGTCAAGTTTTGTAGAAATTGTTGATCTCTTTTCAAATTTGTAGCCAACAAATATCTAGGCAGAAGTAATAACTTTTGGTATAGATATTTTATTTAAAAAATAAAAATAAAATAAAAAAAATGCATACGTGACTTTAATCAGAAGGCAAAATTTGTAGATTATTCGTTTTTTAGCACCCAGCCAACGTAAATCATTTAATATTTTTAAAATGAAGAAGTGAAATTTTCAAAAGTTTGGATTTTAAACAAATATAACGAAATATCGACCGATAAAAAATAATAATTTATTATTATTTTATAGTGATTCTTATTATATAGTGATGATTCGATCCTATGTTGAAATAACAATTCGATTTCGATTTTTTTTTTCAAACGAAATTCAACTCATTGATTTTTTGTTTTTAAATTTTATTGAAACAAGAAACCATTTATACATGCATATATACAAAGTAAATCAAGAAATATAACCAAATTAGAAAAAACTAGAAACCAGTTAACATTTAATAAATAAATAATTACATAGACATTATTGAAAAAATTGTTCAAAAAAGTAAAATATAAGGCGACGACGAAAAAAAATTTACTATGTTTTGTTGGTGTGGTGTTGTGAAGCAAAAAAACACAACAAAAAAATAGTTAAAAGTCGTAAGAATAGTAGTCAGTCACCTACCTATAGTTAAATTACTCTCAGGGCCCTAGCTTACCTATAGTTATTAACTCATCTCACCTACCTACAAATTTATATTTCTAAGTTTTAGGAATTTTACATGTTTCAGGTATTGTATTTTACATCTTTTAACGTTTTTAATTTGCCTTTTTCGAATAATTTATTTTTAAAATTTTTTTTGTTAGAAACTTTTTAACTAATGTTAAGCCCTAGCCTACCTACGATTGTCCAACTCATCTCAATCCCTAACTTACCTACGAATTAAATTAAAGTCCGGTAAAGAAAATAGCAAGTTGAAGAGATACATAACAACGACAACACCGAAAAATGGATGGTGTGTATGAGTGTGTTGTATTGTAGTGTGTATGTGTGCAAATGTTGTTATTGAGATGACAATCCACTCCAATCACTCCAAAACATTCCACTCCTTTGTTCAAATTCCAGTACTTTCTGAGGTACGACGGCAAACAATTTCTCGTTAATATTTATTATTATTGTTGTTGTTATCTTTGAATTGTCATCGGAACGATCATCATGAGTCCACCATCTGAAACGTGCTGACGCCCACCACAGCCCACCTCTCATCATTCTGTAGACAATTTTTTTTATCAGCGTAGTAGTAAATCAAGGAATAAAGGAACGAACGAATAAATGATTAACTGAATGATTGGTTGAATGATTGAGTGAATGGATGAATAAATTAATCAATCAATGATTCAATGAATGAATTAACGAATCAATGTAAAAATAATTTTGAAGATTGAGTGATAAAATGAACGAATGAATGAATGAGAAAAATAAAAAAACGAAAGTAAATCTTACTTCAAAAATCGTCGTTACTGTACTCTCCATTGCACCGACCATCACCATCTGGTCGGCACAAGATGTCATCCGAACTTCAGAGTGTCAGTCGAACAGCCAACGAGCTGATTCTTCCTACACCACCACCATCATGAGACCACCATCTGAAACGTGCTGACTTCCACCACTGCCCACCTTTTATTAACGTTGTAGTAAATGAATGTTCGAACAAAGGAACAAACGAACAAATGATAGGTTAATTGATAAAGTGAACGAATGAATGAATTAATCAATCAAAGAATGAATATAATTAATCAATTGAATAATTTGAAAGATTGAGTGAGGAAATGAATGAATGAGAAAAATAAAAAAACGAAACTAAAGCTTACTTCAAAAATCCATCATCTGGTCGGCACACAAGATGTCATCCGAACTTCAGAGTTTCAGTCGAACAGCCAACAAGCTGATTCTCCCTACACCACCATCATCATGAGAACACCATCTGAAACGTGCTGACGCCCACCACTGCCCACCTCTCATCATTCTGTAGACAACATTTTTTATTAGCGTAGTAGTAAATGAATGTTAGAATCTTAGAAGCAAAAAATTATAAAATGAAAATGTCAAATAAATAATATCTTAAAATAATAAATTGAGTAAAATGTAAAAAAAAACTTACCGTCGTCTATTCGACAAAGGCAGAATGTTGAATGCGGTCCGGTTCCTACGTTGTCCTCGAAAACTGGTGCCAGTCCTCCTCGAGATTATTGTTGAAACTCAGCCCGTGTTGATGAAGAAAGATAGAGAAAGAGTAGATTCTCATCAGAAAGCTTAGCGGTGCCTGCATCTCAAATTGCTTAATAAAAATAATCCTATCTACATATTCAATTACCTTAACTAATCTATATTAAATTGTTAATGGTACGATAGTCGAAAGTCCCCCTTCATTCTCCCTCCTTGCACAGAAGTTCGCCGACAGCCATGGCACCGGATAGAAAACCATTGCCGTGCGGATAGTAGACTATTGCCGAGCGGATAGTAAACCATTTGCCGTCCGGAAGCCGTGCGGGTAGTAGACTATGGCCGTGCCGCTTGGTAAATCATTACCGTGCAGATAGTAAACCATTGCCGTCCGGATAGTAAACCATTGCCGGTACACCACTGGCCACCAAGGCTTACCTCTGACAACAGACTTCGAAATTCAGAGTCTATCGGCTATCGTACCCTCAACTTACCTATTCATTACAATTAAGCCCTAGCTTACCTAAAATTACAAAAAAACTCAAGAGCCCAATTCATTGGCCTTTCGGCACCCACCCCACCACCTACGTAATGCCTTGGGCTCCAACTTAGTAATAATAATATAAAACTTAAACTCTAAATCCATTAATGAGTATGTTACAACGTAGCCTTAACTTACCTATTCATTACATTACGGTCCAAGCTTACCTAAAATTACAAAACTCAAGAGCCCAATTCATTGGCCTTTCGGCACCCACCCCACCACCTACGTAATGCCTTGGGCTCCAACCTAATAATAATAATGTAAAACTTAATAATTAACTTACCTATCAATACTTACAGCGTTTTAATTTACATTATAAGATTGTTCCTAGAATTACATTATAGCCCTAAACTACCTATGAAATTAAATTACTCTCAGCCTTAGTAATAATAAATTAGAATGTGTAATGAAAATAAAATTACGCTCAAATACTAATATATGTTTATGTATGTATTTGTGTGTGTGTGTAATACGCTGATGCGTGTAATGTGGGTGCAAGAAAAAGTAGAAGAGATAAACTTACGCGCCTACCTATTCAACTACATTAGTGTTGGATGCTTCCTATCTATCCTACCTACAATTAAAATTATTCCTATCTAACTTACCTATATAGCTACTTAGTGTAATTGTGTGTATGTGTGTGTGCGTGTGAGCATTCTTACTTAATGTTAAATTAGAGAAAAACAGAGAAAAAAGAAAAACGTATCCCAGCCAGGCGTGTATTCATTGCCACTGAATGAACAAACGAAGCCTGACATCTTCCATGATGAACTCCTCTGGAAGCTTCAACCTGAATGAAATGAAAAAATTTTATTTAATTAATTTAAATGAAAATAGAGAAACGAGCCGCGGTGAAACCCGCCAACAGGAAAATCCAGCCAACTGGCAAAAAAGGAACCGCAAAGAAACCGTAAAACGAACCCCAGCCAGGCGTGCATTCTTTGCCACTGAATGAATGAACGTAGCGTGACATCACAACCAGTCTGATCGTCCCAGATGAACTCCTCTGGAAGCTTCAACTTGAATGAATGAACCTGAAAAAACCTAAATGAATG